TAGTTTCGGCAACTTACTTAATTCCCAGTCCATCCTTCTCTGGAAATATCAGGGGAACCCTGAGAGCTTCTCTCTGCACATACTCGTAGTTGAAATCTGTTTGGGTATTGGAATTAAAACAAGCTGGTGAAGCCACAAAGCAGCGAATGAACCCCAGTGCATTGGGGAGGGGGAGAAAAATGATGGCGGGGGGGGGGGTTACAGTAGTCGCGGGCACCGGCTCGAGGGCCAAAGCTCCGTGGAAAAACGACAGGGAAATGGATTAGGCGAAGCCCAGGAGAAACCATGCCAACTCTCAGCTCCTCTGCCTACTCAGTCATTCCCGGCATGCCCCACGGGTCAGAACTTGTCAATGAACAGCCCAAGGCTGGGCGAGGGGTGGGGAGCGGAGACTCATGAAAGAACCCCACACAGAAGGAGCCCGGGCTGGCGCTGAGCAAAGAGGGACGGGGCCGCGCATCCCTAGCTGAGCTCAGAAAGGGAAGGGACTGCAAGACTGAAGAATGCCACCTGGGAGGATCTGAAGGCCCAGAGAGGAGGCTGGGAGGAGGGTTCTCATTGTAGCTGAGCATCGGGGAAGATCTTATTGTAATATCCTGTATAGTGAAGGGGAGGGGGGGGGAGCCGGTTTCCCTGGAAACTGTGTATTTGGTGCCAAAATAACTAGGGAACTGGGCACAGCTTTGTTGTCTTAATGGTGAAATTGTGCTGCAGCCGTCACAATACTTGCTCCAACGGGGTAACCCGGAGGGGTGCGCCCCGGGCGGAGAAGACTGTGCAAAGAGGACGTGGAGAAGCCCAGAGAAAATTCATCACGGCACCGTCTTCCACTTGGGGGTCTGTCTGGTGCAGACCCCCAAATCCTTACCCTAACTGTGGAGGGGAGAGAGGCTGAGACAAACCCTCACGGCCCCAAGTCCTCAGGGAACGGAACAATCCACGAGGGCGCCAGGCCTCGCCGGCCAGTCAGGAGACGGAGGAGCTCACAGGTCACGGAAGCCCCTGCCCCAGGCGAGCAGTTCACCGGGGCAGCTCGGAGGGGGAGGAGGCCGAGGCAGCGCAGCTCCGAGGGGGAGAGAACAAAACCAGGGCTGGGGAGAGCCCTGACCTTAGCAGCTCAGATCCCCAGGGGCTCCCAGTGAATGGGGATTCCTAAGGATTTGGAGGCACAGAAGTTTAAGAAGCTTCTATCTTGAATCCAAGCTCAGGGCTCCTTCTGTTTCTCAGCTCCTCCCTCGAGTTTTGGGGCCAGATCTGAATTAGCTACCAAAACCCTAGAGCCGACCGTCTCCTTTGAAAGGAGCCCGGACAGCAGATTGAAGCAATCTCCCTTGCTGGAACCCCTGCCCCCTACACACACACCCCCAAAGCCCACCCCCAGGGTCAGCTTTCGGCTTCTTCCAATGAGCCTGAGAAAACTCTGAGGTCCCCGGGGCAGAGAATTCCTCACAAATGACCAGGAAGAGTTTGCATATTGTTTTCTCATCGGATCCGTCAACTACTCAGTTTGAGGGTGAAGAAAGGCGAGGCATTAAAATCCCATTTGTGCTAAGGAAATTTAAATGAAGCTGAGAATGGCCCCTTCAAGACCGAGCAGGCTGGAAGAAATGTCTTCTTCCCTCCCCCCACAACCACCCCCTGCCACGGGAGCCCAGCGCCCCAGAAAACAGGGGCACAAAAGAGAAACTTCAAAAATGCAAAGCCTGGACGGTCTCTAGAGAGAGCAGAGGCGAGCCACTGGAGCGGAACCTGGGGGGCGGGAGGGCTTCTCAGCTATCAGCGCGCGGAGGGATGGAAGGGGTTTCCAAGGGGGATGGGAGATAAACAACACGGGCGCGGAGTGATATAAAGGAAACTTGAATATTTGGGTGGGGGGGGGATGAATTTACAAATCCCAGGAGGGCAAAGGGCAATGCCCAGGCAAGCAAGGACACCTCCAAACCACCAACCCCACAGGACCGCTGGAAGCCTCGGACTCAAGCCGGAGCACCGCAGCACCCCCAAAGACCGGGCGGGGTCCCCAGACATGCTCCCAGCACCAGGGTCAGGGAGAAATGGTAGCCCTAAAAGTCTCCAACTGGGTGGCATCCCCCAATCCTAGAGGCTCTAAACTGGCAGGGCCCTCAAAAGGGGGCAGAGCTCAGGCCCGGAAGAAACCCCACGTCCTGGAGGGGCGCCCCAAGTCTTCACTTGGAAAGTGCCAGGGGACAGGGAACTCAGCCTTAAGCCGGAGGGGAGATCACCCCCTCCACCGCAGTCCCCTCTTCCAACCGTCAGAGCTGCAGGACTAGAGGCCACCGGCTTAGGTGGGGACGCGAGCCAGCGACTCTGCTCCAATCTGGCAGAGCCCGCCAGGTGATGGGGTGCCTTAGACCCCAGGCTTGAGGAGGCCCGTCATTCGGTGACCCCTGGGCGCCCCCAGCGCCAGCTTCCAACTGGAAGGGCCCACACAGCACGAAGTTTGCGAGGATTCAGGCCTGGGTGCCTCACCCCAGTCTGACTCCAGCCGGGCAGCGAGCAAGCAGCTGGGCCGGCTCCGGGAGGGATAGAACGCGGCGCACCCGCCTTCCCTCGGTCCGCCCGTCCGTTCGTCCCCAAGGTCTCTCTGTCGGCCAGACCCTGGCTCTGCCCACCCTGGGGCTGGTGGTGGGCGCTGGCCAGGCCTAGGCCCTCGGCCGGCCCCGGTTTCAGCAGCCTGCCCTCCTCCCTCGCCACCCCACCCCACCCTACCCCACCCCCCCAGTGCTCGGCCTCGTTTCGTCACCGGATCCCCTGGAATGGGGGACGCGGGCGCGAAATACGAACCCAGCCACCGGCAGCTCCCTCCCCACGTGCGCTCGGGCTGCGGCGCGGACGGTGGCTGGAGGAAGGGGCACCTCACCTTTGCCCTCCATGGCGTGCACGAAGTCCCCCTGGTACAGCTGGCTGCGCAGCTTCTCCTCCAGGCTGAAGCCGCGGACACTAACGATCTCCTCCACGTCCGACAAGTCCTCGTTCTCGTCGTATCTCTGGCGGTCAATCGGGCGCTGCGGGGACCCAAGCCAGAGAGCCCGGGACATTACTGGGAGACCTGAGGGTCGCCTCTCACCCTGGGCCCAGCTCCAACAGGTGCAGAAGCCGCGCACCCCTGCACCCTACCAGTGCGACCCGAGCAACTTTGCGCAAATGCTCAAGATGCTGGAAATCAGGATAACGAGAGGGGCCGCACCCCCCAAGTGTCTGGCTGCGCCCTCCAGGGCATTCCCCTCCTGCATCTCGGGAGGCCGTGGAAGGGACATCTGGGGGGGGCTCCCTTTGCTCCCCACCCCCGGAAGGTGTTGACTTTTGCTCACTCGGCCGGGAGCTTCGTTATGTAACCCGCGAAGGGGGCTCCGCGCACGGGCTGGCGGGGCATCTGTAGGCCCCGGGAGGAGCCGCGGCGGCGCCCGGCTCGGCGCTAACAGCAGCCGCGGCGGCAGAGCCGGGAAGCCGGAACCGGGGGCTGGCGGCATTTCTAAGACTGGAGCCGCCCCCGACCTACCCGGGAAGCTGGAAAGCTAAAATGGAAGGGCTGAGACCCCAGCCGCCCCCGCCGACCGCCCTCCAGTGCAAGAAGAAGAGGTGGGAGGGGGGTTCTGGGCTTGGGAGGGGGAGAGGCTGACCGCCCGCCACAAAGCTCCCATCCGAGACCCCAAAACGCACCAGCAGCTGCCTCATCTCCCCACAAGCGCGCGCGCACACTCACTTCCTAAGGAGACTCCCCCGCCACTCCCCGCATCCCCTGCCTCCTCCCTCCACCGCCCAGCGCCTGGCCCCGCAGCCCCCCAGATTCCGGGCGAACCCCGAGCCCGCTCGGCCCCCTTCCACGCCTTTCCCCGCTACCACCTCTCCACTTAAGTGTCTGAGACTCTGAGCTTCACAAGAGACTGGAGGAGTAATCTGCTGGCTTCCTTTTGCATGCAATTTATTATATATTTTTTTCCGGTCCTCTTGCAAAATACAGAAAAGGAAAGAAAAGGCAGCGAGAAACAACAACAACAAAAAAATAGATCTATCATATACCAGATACAGATTGGGGGGGAAAAAAAAAAAGCTACACACCAATCTTCTTCCAGAGTCTTTCTCTGCCTCCATTTTTTTAGGAGAGTTCACCAATTAATTGTCAACACTCCTGCCCCCTGCATTTTGGCAGAGGGGGTAAGGAGAGAAGACCAAAGAAAACAAACCAAAAAAATAAATAAATAAAGCAAGCCAGAGCCGAGATCTACAAAGTTTTGCACCAACACTTAAGCAGATCCGTTTGCAAAGTCCTAGGAAACCATTTTCAGCAGTTGTGGGGGGGGGAGGCGTCGACGTCATAATCCCCGGAACGTAAACATTGTTGCCGATCGCGCTCTGAGCCCGCGGCCGGGCTAGGGTGGGGGGGGGCGGCCCTCGGCCCGCGACCGGGGGGCGGGGGCGGCGGCCCCGGGAGGTGTGTGGTGGGGAGGGCGCTCGGGAGGCACCGGGCGCCGTTAGCGCCCTGGCATCGCTGTTTTGTTGTTGGGTCACGAGTGAGCTTCTGCACGCAGGCGCCGCCGCGGCCCGGGAGTTGTGTGCAGAGCTGACTTTTGGAGGGCTGAGTTGCAGGCGGAGGGCGCATCCCGGAGATGGCGGGGCAGGGAAGGAGGGGAGGAGGAGGGGGGAGGGAGGGAGGTGCAGATTTGCACGGCTGGCCTCAGCGGGAGGCACGGAAATGCAAGCGGAGCAAGCCTGCGTGAAAGCTCGTGAGGCTTGGCACCCCAAAAGACGCCCCCCCAGCTCAACCCTTGCCCCCCATTGCCCACGGGCTACCCCTCTTCCTCCTCCTCCAGCCACCCCACCCCGTTACCTACGGGGCCGATCCAAATTCAAAGCATTTTTAATATATAAATTTTTTCCTTTCCTTCTGAAAGTCTTTTCTCTTGGCAGGGGGCGGGGGGGGGGGACCATCCTCCTAGACCCTATTTGCGGACCTACATAAGGAGGAGGCGTTTGGGGGCTCCGGAAGGTATTAGCACAGCCCCACTCCAGTACGAACCGCATAACTTTTAAACTCCCAGACTCAAAAGAGGGGCATCCACACGCGCGCGCGCGCACACACACGCGCACGCAGGTACAGGAAATTCAGCCAGAGCAGAGCCTTTTCAGACCCAAGCTGACCGGAAGATGCTGCCTTTCATTCATTCATTCGGCCCGCGGGCGTGGAGTCCTGTGCTGGGTGACGAGCCCTGGCACGGAAGCTGGACATTTTTTAGAGGTCCCTGCGCTCGCCAACAGGAGGGAATGGAGGCTCAGGAGTGAAATGCTGAAAGAATTGGATCTGGCGCCTCCGAACACAGCTGGCGAACCGGCGGAGGGTAAGCCCTTATTGGCCGATTATAAAGGAAAGTCTGCGGAAGGATGGAAGGAGCTCTGGGATGGGGCGCGGGGAACTCTGGGTGCCCCCTGATGAATCCTAGAGGGCTTCTTGGCAGAGGCATGGCCACCCTCTATACATAGAAAAAGTATCTTTAGCTCTGAGTATGCTTCCCTGTCCACATTCCTGGTTCGCTGTGACCACCCCCAAAACTGGAATCCTGAACGTGTTGTCCTGTCGTTCTGTCAGGAACAGTCAGGTCGACTTTGGATGTGAGAAAAGCTGGCCCTAAACATTCTTCTAGGCCAACTTAGGCCTGATCTTGGGGGTAAAGATCACAATGAGAGGACGAGGCAGTGGGACTTAAATCAATTAAATAAATAATAAAGGAATGTTACAAATGCTCATAGCAGGCGTTGTGAAAAATTCTTGCCATTCTTTTAATATTTCTGCCGCTAACCTTGTGCGATGGAGCAGGTCATTTTGCAGAGAGGGAAACCGAGGCTCAGAGAAGTCATGAGTCTGGCTGGGGTGGCTCTGCCCCCCTGTCATCCCCGTGTCAACACGGCAGTCAGACGTGTGGAGAGGAAGTGGCTTCCCCAGCAGAGATCGGATGTGAACCATCAGCTCCTATTGGTCACCCTAAGAGACCGCTTCCCCCACACTCGTCTCAAAGTTTCCTGCCCTGTCTTCTTGTACTCTTCCCCTTCCTCCGCCAGAGACCTCTGACAGGTTTGTTTTCATCCAAGTCCACGAGCTGGCAAACATCAAACGCTGTTTCACGTTGACTTAGTGGGAGCGAAAAGGGTTTTTTGCCTTCCGTCTCTGTCAAGAACTGAGGGGGGTGCCTTTTATTTCCTTCCCTCTCACAAGAAAGCTTGAAGGGAAATAGTGTTCTTATTCCTCATTTTGCAAATGAGGAAACTGCAACTCAGAAAGGCAAAGCCACCCACCCAAGATCACACAGTTTGTGAGTGGGGTAGCTGGGGATCTAACCAGAGCCTCGGGTACCCCATGCTCTATCTGATACTGACCATCCTTTACCGCCCCCACGTAAGGAAATGGAAATGAACATGTTTAAGGACGGTGCGGGGCCTGGAGGGTACAGGAGAGTGAGAAAAGTGGAATTAAGGAAAACCGAAATCTTAATTCTTTCCTCCTAATGACCCTTCTCTCTCCTGGTGTCCCCAAAATGTGGTGTCAGGAAAAGATCTGAGGACAGGCACCTGAGGGTAGAACAGTTAAGTCCATATATCACCCCGATGAGGAGTCCCTGGCCTGTCCGAGTGGGAAAGGGTAGTCACCTAATGTAATCCTCTCCCTGTACGAACTGCAAGGAAACTGAAGACCGGAGGGAAGAAGAATAGGCCAGGCCAGGGCCTTGCTCGCCTCGGACTCCCCCAGAACGCCTACCCTGCCGCCTGCTCCTAAGTGATCACTCAATAAATGTTGAGCCCTTGATGGATCACCTTCCCCAGCGATATTTGCATTTTCCCTTTATCAGTAATTGGCAGATGAAAGGCTTTGTCCCCCTGTTGAAAGAATTTCAGGCATTCGCTCCAAGTGGGGGAGGAGGTTATTTTGGGCCCAAGGGGGGAGGGCCAAGACCCTTGAGCTCCTGGTGTGGGCTAATATCCCAGAGGAGTGGGCAGTAGGTGAGAGAGGGAGGATTAGCATAATTCTCCAAGAGAGGTATTTTTTTCTTGCAGGAAAATAAAAAGACCAGGACTGTTGTATCTGAAGCATCATCGTAATGACTTCCTGGACCCTCCTGCTCATTCTTACAAAAGGCCCAGTCAGATCCCGTGTTGGCCCCATTCATTCATTTCTTCATTCATCAAAGGTTGATTGAGCAGCTCTGGGCTTTAAGACAGAGGGTATGGAGGAACCAGCTCCGTCTGTGGACATACTCCGGGCTGGGCAGGGAGTGGCCCCCCGGCTTCCCAAGGCAGTTAGTTAGGAAGGGCTGCTACGGGCTGGAACCCTCAGAAGTCAGGATTTTCAAACTGTCAGAAATGGAGGCTGTTGTCACGCTTACATAGAATTACAATAGCTCCTGGGTTTTGAGAGCTCACTATAACTCTCGTTGAGCAAAGCCACTCACTCGCTTTTGCTTTCTCCAAATCTTCACCAAAGTTCTAAGAAGGAGGGTCCGTAATGCCCCACTCTTAGAGCTGGGGCTCACACAGAGGTTAGGTTACTTGGCCAACATTTACAGCTGTGAAACAGCAAAGACAGGACTTGAACCCCGGGCTTACAGGAATCCAGAGCCCACAGACTTGAGCGCTATGCCTCCCTGCAGGTCTGCCCTAACACAGGAGCCCGCAGCCACATCAACTACTGAGCACCTGAAACACAGGCCATGGCATTAAGACATGGAATGTTAAAAATTTATTTACTTGTAATGAAATGTAAATACTTATATGTAACTCCTCTTTAACTTACTGGGCCGTTGCAGCCTTCGAATGCTTTCCAGAATTGGTCATAATAACTCACCTACCTCACCGTCTGATTCGGCACTGGGCCCCTGTATCGACCTTCTGGCAACATTTGGGGAGTGAATGAAGAGAGTGAAGTATTATAATGATGAGGTGCGGGGAGGGCGCCTGGGACGTCGCAAAGGTTTCCTTCGAAGGGGCCATCTGGTACCACGGGAGTGTCTGCGGTGTTTGGGGATGCCAGTTGGACAGAGGATTGTCCCACCTGCCTGGATCAGACAGACTTCTCAAGGACAGGTAAGAGGTGGTGGGGCAGGAAGCCTTAGAAATAGTGGACTACTTCCTGATAGCTTTCCTGTGAGACTCCGACACGAAGGTGCAAACAGAGCCCCCTGTGCCGCAGAAAAAGAATCAAATCGATCTCTAAAAGTTGGAGAGCTGATGAAATAATTCCTGGACCATCTATGTGCCCAACGAAATGTTCTTATATCATTTTTTTAAATAACGTAGCTCTATATATACCGATGTGGAGTGATCGCATAGCCCTACAACAAAACAAGGTGCAGAACACGAATACTTCATGGTACTGACCGCTTACGTGAACCAAGGGGATATATCTATATGTATATATATTTTGTGTGCACAGAATTTTCTTTGGAAAGAAAGAGTAAAAAATGGGGGAAAGAACCGAGAGGAGAGAAGAAAACTTACTGTTTGGTCCAGTGTGAAATTTTTACCACTTGTATGCATTAAAATGTCCCAATTTTGAACCTTATAGACATTTCATTTTATATGTTGTAGCACCTTTGGAATTTTGTACTAGACGGATATATTACCTATTCAAAAATGAATTTCATTTTATTCCCCCTTTTTGAGGCTACAACATTCCAAATTAGGCAAATCCAAAAAACCAAATAAATATTGTTTAGCTCTATAGAGATAAGTGGCAAAGCATAAATAAAAGCAAAGGCGTGTTTAACATGAAACGCAGGAAGAGACGCAACTCTAGGGGTGATATGAAGTTACTGGTCATTTTCTCTCAGCATCTACAAGGTGGGCACCCAAATCCTTACATATTTTACAAGTTATACTGTAATTATGAGCTAGTCTAGAGTTTAAAAATTGTTTCAATATTGCTTTATGTCTTTCTCTCCCACCCCCAGAAAACTCATTAGCAAGTCTGTTGAGTGCCCTCTCAGAAATAGTGTCACGTGTTCACAAACCTCTACACGTGTTTTCTTTTATTATTGTGTCACACACATAGGCATACTGTCCTACCCCCCCCCCGCCCTTTTCACTTAATACGGTCTTGGTGATCTTTCCATGTACTCTCTTTCCCTCACCTGATTCGAAAATGTTACTTAAGGATGAAGTGAAACCGAATGTCATAATACAGGAAAAGTTCAGGAAGGGTCAGGGAAGGAAAAAGCAGTCACAGAAAACTGTGTATGTTACTCGCCCATTTATGTTAAAACAAATTAGATATAGGTAATGCACAGATGCCAAAAGAAAAAGAAAAGCAAGGAAAATTGATCATTTTTGAGGAGGGGAGGACATTTTTGAAGAGGTTATGTAGAGACTATATTTAAATATTATTTGCACTTTTGGCAATGATTGTGCCCCTTTAAACTTAGCCAATATAACATAATATAAACAAAGGGGTAGAAAATAAGTATCACAAAAAATGTATAGCGAGGACTCGTGTATCCAGTAACTGGCTTTGCCAAACCTGAAAGTTTGCCACACTTTGCATTACTTTTGCAATTAAAAAAAATACTTTGGGGAACCACAGACCACACTGTTTCTATTCAAGTGATTGCAGTTCCCAAAGACCTTTTCTGTGTTTTCATGGCTTGGGCCCTTGTAGATCGGGGTATCAGAAAGAGCAGAATTACAGATAGCTTTGGTCATCTGAGGAAGACAAGTTTATGTGCAGAGTTCTGCATTTTTTAATATCTCCCTTCCTGTGTGAGCATTGCAAAGAAACTTGGAAATAACAGGTGAGTTTACTAAGGGGTTAACACCAGGAAGCAAGTCAGAAAAAGTTCAAAGATATTTTCAAAACTTGCATCTTTGGTTTGATGGACAAGTGTGTTAGCCAATGGAAATCAAAACCCAAGAATTACTTCACCATGCTAAACAGTCATTGGTTACCAATCCCCAAGGGTCACACAGCAAGGCTGGCCGTTAACCCTTTCAGGGACGACCAGGCCCTTTACATTAGTTTTTATTTTGCAAGATGAAGCAGGGACAGATGAAAAGCCTAGAAAGGCCCCCGGACCTTCAGGGGCCACCTCTGGATCTCACCCCAGAAGGCAGTTTCCTCCTGCAAAGGGACACCTGGGGACACATTTCCGGGAGAAGAGTTTTGAACCTTTAAAATGAGGAATCAGCTGACCTTGCTTCCTTAGTAAGAGGAGAGCGGAGGAGAGAAGTTTGATTCACTTTTTGTGCTGTCAGAACAGAGTCCGGGGCTGGGGACGATCCCATTAATCTCGCAGAGCCATCAGTCACCGGGAGGATTGAATTGCATTTCCTGCCCAGAGCTGTGGGGACCGGGGACCTTCGCCGCAGCTCTCAGACCCCCGGTTCACAGCTGGAGAGAGGATGTGTCAGCCTCTGCTCTCGGGTCTCACCCTGCCCTTTGTTCAAAATTCAGACTCTTTGTGTTCAGGCCTCTGCAGGAGTTTTTTTGTAGTTGTTGGTGCTGCTGTTTTGTTTTGTTTTTTTTTTAACCTCCCACGTCTTGCAACTTCTGAGAAACAAATTCTACTTGGCAGGAGGTGATATCTGGAGGTGCCCGGAGAGGGAACCAGCATAGACGCGGGGAAATTTTAAGAGAGGCCCTTGAACCTTTTGGCTTTCATTAGCGCCCCTTCCTGGGCTCTCCAAATACTGTGGACTGACAACTAATAACGCCTGGTGTTTACATGGCTCTATTACAGAAAAGCTTTCACACGCATTACCTCATGTAAAAGGAACTGCTGGAACAGAAGCATTTACATAAAGCAACACTGAAACTCCCAAACGGCGTGAGTGAGCTACGTGACCTTGAATCAGACGCCCAAACACTCTCAGTCGTCCCGCCTGTAAAATGGGAGTCATATTATCGAACCTGTAAGAGCTGCATGAGGTCTGGATGAGCCAATGTTCTGTAACGTGGTGGTCCATAGATGATGCATCTTCGCTGAAATGAAGTCGACCCTCTGGACTTCATAACCCTAACTAGTGGATTGGGGAAACTGAGTGTGTCCTCGCCACCCCACCTCTCCGCACCCCGCCAGGGGAATGCTGGAGGGGAAACCTCCCCCAGGTGGGCAGAACAGCCCGGCTTTTCTCTCTTTCCTGCCCTCCCAGGGCTCAGTCTGGTGAGAGCAAAGGCAGCAATAAGATAATGAGATAAGCATTTTGAGGGGCAGGAAGGAGAAGATACTGAAGTTGATTCCAGGAGGATACCGGTTTTGGAGAGAAAGAGGACTGGCAGGAGAGAGGGCTCCCCACAGAGGACATGCAGAGGCCTGGGGGAGAGAAAGCAGGTTTATTTGAAGAACTCGGAATCGTTCATGCAGCACGCTCCAGCTTTGCAGGAAACCCACTGGGGAGGTCTCATCCACTGCCCCGGCTCGGTCACTGATGTGTCTCCTACCTAGCACACTGCCAGAACCTCCTCTAAAAGTATGTGTCTAGCCCTGGCTGGCGTAGCTCAGTGGATTGAGTGCGGGCTGCAAACCAAAGGGTTGCAGGTTTGCTCCCAGTCAGGGCACAGGCCTGGGTTGCGGGCCAGGTCCCTAGTGGGGGCCATGCAAGAGGCAACCACGCATTGATGTTTCTCTCCCTCTCTCTCTCCCTCCCTTCCCATCTCTAAAAATAAATAAAATCTTTTAAAAAATAGATAAAATAAAAGTATGCGTCTAATGGAAGTCCAGCATCCCCCCATCGTGCCTCCCCTGGTCCCAACATTCCTCACCCTTCCAGAAATCTGGGAGCAACAGGGCTGAGATTCTCTTTCCCCGGCGAGCCATTCACCCTTTGCCGATGGAGTCGGCGGCTTTTCATCTCTCCCTGAAACGACAGGAGCTCCCCAGTTATTTACTGAGCGCCTCCTAGATTCATACACAGAGCGCCTTTATAGGAAACCCTCTGCTGGGTCCGTCAGCACCTATTTATGGCGGAGAGCAGGCCTTTCGCCCTGACCTTGCTCTTGTTAACTGCCTGTCCTCGGCCTGAGGGCCTGGCTCATAAAATAGGCTCAACAAGCACTTGTTGAATGAGTGAATTCCTCAAACTCCAAAATATGTCTCTCTTCAGCTTGGTTAACCAGACCTAAAACTGTGCCTCTTTAAAGAGCATGCAGAGGTTTCTAAGGGCGCCCTCTCCAAGGGCAGCAAGCAAGGTGGCCTGCCCGAGGGCGGTGGCGCTCTGCACCTCAGAGGCTCCAAAGCCTGGGCTCCCCTCCCCTGAGCTCCACACTGCCTTGCCGGTTGAGGCGATCTGCTGGGCAGAAACGGAGTCCCAGGACCACCCCAGGGCAGCTGTCATCGCCCCAGACCCCCTTATCTGAGAGGTCCCTCAAGAGGTTCATGCCCCTGGGGGGAAAGGAGGCCACTATTTGCAAGTGTGTGGCTTCCCCAGGGCAGGCCAGAGCTTGTCACTTGGTCACTAGTCACTTTCTCCCCACTTCATGCCCTGGAGGGCTGGAGACCTAGGGCAGACAGGGGTGGGGCTCCCAGCTGGCTGTTGGGGGCAGGACAGGGACTGGTGGTCTGTGAATCACCGACAACCCTAGGGCATGGGTGCCTTAGGCTTCCGCTCCTGATCTCTGGAATTGATTTGTCTGCCTGAGTCTGGACTCCAGCCTGAGAGTCTCCCACAGCCAGTCACACTCAATGTCTGCTCTGGCGCCGCAGGGCACTGCTGTGCAGCCGTGTGAGCCCTCCTCTCGCCCGGGTGAACGGACTGGCCTGGCAGATCTTACCCTCTCGGAAAAATCTTTCACGTTCTTTGTGTCTCCCCCACAATGCTAAGCACTCAGTAGGCACAGGAGCATGAGCGGCGCGATGGGATCCTCAGTCCTTCCAGGGCCCTGACTTCTCCGCCCGCCAGCTGTGAGGCCGCCATGTCACCCCCCTGGCCCTCATTGTCACTCGAAAAAGAAGACAGTGGGGAAGAAGCAGCGAGACCACGGAAACCTCGGTCACCGCACTCCACAGCTCCCTTTTCTGCTTGCATCTGCCCTGGGGCACTGATCACTGCCGTATGGTTTACTTGTTTTCCTTCTTTCTTCCTCACACTAGGGTCTCGACTCTGCAAAACAGGTGTTTTACTCTGTCTGGTTCATCGCTATATCTCCTGCCTCTCACACAGCTTAGCACGTGGTAGGCCCTCAGTACATAGTTGTTGAAAAAAAAAATGAATGGAGGGATGCAAAGCAGTTAGTACTTGGTAGGTGCCCCGTGATGGTAGATATGAATTTGCCACTGTGGGTGAGAACTCAGCCTCTGGAATCTGAAAGTAGTGGAATGGGGACAGGAGGAAATTAGCATCACGAGAGGTAGTTAGCAGCTCCGCCTGAGAAATCCTGTCTGCACCATTTATGAGTTGCGTCACTTGGAACAAGTGCCTTCAGGTTCCTGAGGCTCAGTTTCGTCATCTGTAAAATGGAGGTGATAGCGGTCCCTCCCTGGTGGGAGGCGAGGATAGGATGAGATGGCAAATGCAAAGCACTCCGGAGAGTGCCGGGCACATAATAAGTGCTCAGTGAACAGTAGCCATCATTACTCATTATAGTAATACTCAGGCTAAAGGTGACTTCTGAGTCAATTCAACAGTTGCTGAGCATTTAGAACATGCCAGGGTCCAGCCAGCTCAGTAATGTTTGTTGACCTTTATCTGTGAGCTGCTCAAGGAAAGACACTGTGTTTATTTACATTGTCATGATCCTGGCTCCCAGTAGATGCCAATGAATGTGAAACGTGCAGGGAATATTAGACACTGAACTTGCATGTGAGTAAGGACAGAATGGCTATTAGAAAAATAATATCGCCCTGGCTGGTGTAGCTCAGTGGATTGAGCTCGGGCTGCGAACCAAAGCATCGCAGGTTCGATTCCCAGTCAGAGCACATGCCTGGGTTGCAGGCCACAGCCCCCCAGCAACCACACATGGATGTTTCTCTCTCTCTATCTCCCTCCCTTCCCTCTCTAAAAATAAATAAATAAAATCTTTTTAAAAAAGAAAAAGAACCCTGGCTGGCGTAGCTCAGTGGATTGAGCACGGGCTGGGAACCAAAGTGTCCCAGGTTCGATTCCCAGCCAGGGTACATTCCTGGGTTGCAGGCCATAACCCCCAGCAACCGCACATCGATGTTTCTCTCTCTCTCTCTCTCTCTCTCTCTCTTTCTCTCTCTCTAAAAATAAATAAATAAAATCTTTTTAAAAAAGAAAGAAAAAGAATATCAACTCACTACTATGTGCCAGGCAGAGGGCTGGGTGCTGGAATATGGCAGTGAACTTAAACGAGCATGGAGATCACTACTTTTAGGCCAGTGAAACTCAGCGATGTTAGCAGCCCTTGTTCCAACAGTTGCACAGACAGGTGAAGCGTTGCAACTGATCGGTGTATCACAACAGAGAGGAGTGTGAGGCTGTGAGCAGCATAAAACAAACGGGCGGGGGGGCTGGGGGGAGTGTCCTGGTCTGGGGCTGAGGAGGAAGCCAGGAAGCTGTCCCAGGGAAGCGGGGCCCAGAGCTGATCTCTGCGGAAACAGGAGGTCTCAGCTGGGCTGAGCGCGGGCAAAGTGTTCTCAGCAGAAAAAGTAGCAGACTCAGGAGCCTCATGGTGGCGGGGCACGTGGGCCAAAGGAACTGAAAGAAGACCCGAATGGCCCAACCAATGGAGTGAGCTGGAGGCGCGGAAGGCGCTGACATAAACTGGAAGAGTAAGTAGGCACTTCGGGAATTAGCCTGGCAGTGTCTGGTGCAGCGGGAGAGGGTGTGCGTGCAGCCTGCAATCCAGCAGTTCCCCTGCTGGGGACACGCTGCAGAAACGGACACAAGTGCGCCAGGAAGCATGAACAAGGGTGTGAGTCCCGGCCACACTGCACGCAATCTCAAAAACTCGACACAGTGCCCGTCAGCAGGAGGGGGACGGATGGCAGGCTACGTCAGTGTCGGGTTCCTGGGAAAGCAGAGCCAGAATCAGGCGTTGGTGCTGTGCACCTCTGCGGGGGCAGCAGGAGTGAGGAACAGGGGGGCCGAGGGAAGACGAGCAGGTGAGTGGACAGGAGGACACTGAGGAGAGGCCACAGGTACTACGGCATCTTAGGGTGGCTCCGGAGAGCATGGGGGAAGGGAAGACAATCCCCTGCTGGCTCCTTGTCACAGGTGAGCCTCATGGGGTGTACGCCCCACTCTGTATCAGTATATCCACGTGTGAGCCCCTCAGCCACACAGCAGCCCCGGGGGGAGGCCACCAGGTCAGAGCCCGCGCAGGACCGGTCCCCATAGCAACAGCCAGGATGCAACCAGTGACTAAGAGATCACCTAAGGCGGGGAGACTGAGAGGATCTGAAGGGCCCAAGGTTATGTACATTGTAAGGAGGAAAACTACGCAGCACTGAAAAAAGAATGAGCCCCCCCACACGTGGATGACTCCGATCCAAAAAAACACTGCACTGCAGGGCGAGTTGCAGAAGGAGGCACACAGTAAAGTTTATTTATATTAAGTTCAAAAACATGTCAAAACAAACAGTATACTATATAGAAAAGCAACAAACAATAACGGAATAAATCCAAAATTGAGGGCCATAATTTCCCCTGGGGCATTAGGAGGAGGAGACGGAGATGGGGTCGTGGAAAATTTCAAAGAAGGGGGTTTTGTTGTTGCCACTGTTCTTTTTTTCTTTTTCTTTTTCTTTTTCGAATGGAATGCTTCACGAATTTGCATGTCATCCCTGTGCAGGGGCCACGTTAATATGCTGTACATTGTTCCAATTTGAGTAAACGAACTGCTGAAGTAAGCACTGTTTTTTTTTTTTTTTTCAGTTGTGGCAAATACACAGACAACGTAGGTTTGGCCACTTTAACCACTTTCAGGTCTACAGTTCAGCAGCACTAAGCACACTCACGCTGCTGTGCAACCATCACTACCACCCCGCTCTGGAATTTTCCATCACCTCTGTCTTAGTTAGCTTGAGCTACTAGAAGAAAATCAACTGGGTGGCTTACACACCAGACATTTATTTCTCGCCGTTTCGAAGGCTGGGAAGCCCAAGGTCAAGGTGCCAGCACATTCAGTTCCCGGCGAGGGCCTGCTTCTCGGTTTGGAGTCTGGAGATGGCAGCCTTGTCCTGGAGAGCTCGCACGGCCTTTGCTGGGCGTGTGCAGGGCGAGGGCTCTCTCTCTCTTCCTCTTCTTCTGAGGGCGCTAATCTCATCAGGAGGGCCCCGCTCTCCTGGTCTAGTCTAAAGCGAATCATCTCAAGGTTCTGCCTCCAAATACCATCACACTGGGGGGGGGGGGTAGGGCCCAATGTAGCAGCTTGGGTGGAGGGGACACAGACATTCCGTCCATAACACTCCCGAACAAACCCTGCTCCTAACGAGTAAATAACTCCCAACGTGGCCCCCTCATCCAGCCACTGGCAACCACCATTCTATTTCTGGTCGCTGTAAATGGGACTACCATAGGCTCTTCAAGTAAGTAGAATCATACCAATATTTGTCCTTTTACATCTGGTCAAATTCACTGAGCATAATGTCTTCAGAGTTCATGCACCTCGCAGCCTGTGTCAGAATTTCCCTCCTTTCTAAGACTGAACAAGAATCCATGGTGTGGCCCTGGCTGGTGTGGCTCAGTGGATTCACCACCCGCCTGTGAACCAAAGGGTCGCCAGTTCAATTCCCAGTCAGGGCACATGCCTGGGTTGTGGGCCAGGTCCCCAGCAAGGGGCACATGAGAAGCAACAACACATTGATGTTTCTCTCCCTCTCTTTCTCCCTCCCTTCCCCTCTCTAAAATAAATAAATAAAATCTTTTAAAAAAGTATCCATGGTATGTACATAGCACAGGAGTTATTCCATTCATCTGCTGATGGGTATTCGGGTGGTGTCTGCCTTTTGGCTACAGCGAATAATGCTGCTACGAAGGTGGTAAAGCTTTGTAAATTAAGCTGATGGTGACAATAATACAGCACTTAAAAAAAAACACTTACTGTTTATTTCCTATTTTTAAAGCTTAGAACTGCATAATATGCTTCTTTATTTTTACACATGCTCATGGGATTAGCCATTTCTCACCAAAAGAGTTGGTATATTATTAAAGTCATCTTCGTATGTGGTGGTTGCACAACAATGTGAATGTGCTTAATGACACTGAACTGTATGCTTTAAAAAAAATCAATGAATAAGCCTTGGCTGGCATAGCTCAGTGGATTGAGTAGGGGCTGCGAACCAAAGAATCGCAGGTTCGATTCCCAGTCAGAGCACATGCCTGGGTTGCAGGCCACGGCCCCCAGCAACAGCACATTGATGTTTCTCTCTCTCTCTTTCTCCCTTCCTTCCCTCTCTAAAAATAAATAATAAAATAAAATATTTTTTAAAATCAATGAATAAAGTGAAAAAATAATAATTAAAAAATAGAGAAAGAAAAACATTGTTTGTTCCACTTGTGCATGCGTTCATTGCTCGCTTCTTGTTTGAGCCCAGACAGGGGATCGAACCCACAACCTTGGTGCATTGGGACAATGCTCTTACCAACTGAGTTACCCGGCCAGGGCTGAACTGTGCACTTTAAAATAGTTAAAATGGTAAGTTGTTATGTATATTTTACCACAATTTAAAATAGAAGCAGGAGGAAGAGGAAGGAAGAGAGGAGGGAAGGAAAGTATCAGGCCAGGCAAAGCCTTGTAACTATGATAAGGGTATGAGGCTGCAATAATTTCTGTGCATTGTCTACATTTTTGCAAGAAGTCCAGGCAAATGGGTTGCACCAAGAAGGGAGAATCAAGTGCTTCATTTCTAGTTGAAAAAGGCCACATGGGAGGGTGGGCAGCCTGCGGGAGGCTCCCAGCTCCCTGGCAGCAGCCCCAGGATTAGGGCCAGCCTGCTGCCCTCTGTTCTGGTGCGCAAAGGGCGGAACCACCACCAGGAGGACGAGCAGCAGGAATCAGACAACAGACACTGGCTGACTATGTGCTACAGGCAAAGCCCTTCCTGGGTGCCCAGGGGATGGGCGGGCAGGTGAGCGAGGGGCAAGGCAACCTGGCCTTCAAAGAGCTGGCCACAGGTGAGGAGATAAGAGTCTGGGAAAGGTACCCGGCACTGTGAGGCGATAAGGGCCCCTCTACGCTCTGAACACACCCGCATTATAATCTTACCTTTGTATGTTAGTTATTTATTTACAGGGCACTTTAGAAGGAAGACTGGGGGATCCTTGAGGGTATTCGTGGATTCAGGCACGTGTTTTATTACTGTGTACTCAGGCACTGATTTGGGATAGCTGGCATGCAGTGGCTGCTTAGCAAACATGCATGACCTAGCGTTCAGCAGGCACTCAATAAATGTTCTTTGCATTGAATAAGTCGGTCGCACCAGGCCTGGCACGCAGATGGTGTTCAATGAATGTTGAACTTCATGAGGGAAGGACTAGCTCAGGGCCGGGCACACAGGAAGGACTCACGAAGCACTGCACCCTCCCATCTTTCTGACCTGCCTCCGCCCTGAGCCTGAATCCTGGAAACTGAAGCTCAGAGGCCAGACTGGACCATCAGACCATCATCTGCGCATTCATTCATTCAACAAGCATTTAATAAACGCCTACCATGCACCAGTCGTGGGGATGGAGCAGTGGGAAAAAAAAAAGCCCACAGGTGAGGTTAAGGTTTTATGGGGACATTATGGAAACCGCGGCGACGTGAGAGACTGCAGGGAGTGACGGGCGAGATGGATTAATCAGGGAAAGGCCTCTCGGAGGTGACATTGAGCTGAGGTCTAAAAGGGAAGAAGCAGCCCTGGCTGGTGTGGCTCAGTCGATTGTGTCGTGGTTCGATTCCCAGTCAGGGCACGCGCCTGGGTTGCAGGCTGGGTCCCCAGTTGGGGGCGCAAGAGAGGCAACCGATATACATCATACATCGATCTTTCTCTCTTTCTCTCTCCCTTCCCCTCTCTTTAAAAATAACTAAAATCTTTTTAAAAATAAATTTTAAAAAGGCATCCATGTGAAGATCTGGGGGAAGAGCATTTAGACAGCGGGAACAGCAAGCACAGAGGCCCTGAGGACCTGGCCCGTGGAAAGAACAGCAAGAAGTGGCTCCTGTGCAAGTGAGCTGGGAGCGGGGCGGTGGCGGTGGGCATGAATGGCGTTAGAGAGCCGGAAAGGGGCTAGGCCGTGGGAGGCCTTCCCATCGCAGGTAAGGAGCTTGGGTTTTATTGCAACTCAGATGAAAAGCCACTGGAGGACTTGAAGCGGTGGGGCCACCTGAACAATGGATGACTCCCCCGCCCCCAAAAAATGTCCACACCCTGATCTCTAGAACCTGTGAACTTGTTACCTCATATGGCAGAAGGGGCTTTGCCGATGCGATCAAGCTATGTCAAGGATCTTTTACTTTTACTGATAGATTTTACTTTTTTTTTAGGTTTTATTTGTTTATTTTTAGACAGAGGGCAAAGGAAAGAGAGAGAGAGAGGGAGAGAAGCATCAACATGTGGTTGCCCACTGGGGACCTGACCCACAACCCAGGCACGTGCCCTGACCAGGAATCGAACCAGTGACCCTTTGGTTCACAGACCAGCACTCAATCCACTGAGCGACACCAGCCAGGGCTACTGATTGATTTTAGAAAGAGAGAGAGAGGAAGGAGGGGGACAGAGAGAAAAAAAAAACATTGATTTGTTGTTCCTCTTATTTCTGCATTATGGGTTGTTTCTTGCATGTGTCCTGACCAGGGATTGAACCCGCAACCTTGGCGTACCAGGACTCACCCTAACCAGCTGAACTACCCGTCCTGGATTAGCCAGGTGGGCCTGGTGTAACCACAAGCTCCTCACAAGAGGTAGACAGAAGGGGCGGAAACAGGAGATGTGACCGTGGAAGCGGACACTGGACTGACGTCCTTTGAAGAAGAAGGAAGGGGCCACGAGGCGACCAGCCACTAGAGGCCCCCCTCCAAAAAAAAAAAAGCAAGGAAATAGATTCCCCTTGGAGGCTTCCAGAAGGAGCCAGCCTTGCCATCACCTCAGTCTTAGCCCCTGATGACTCATTTTGGACTTCTGACCTCTGGAACGGTAAGAGGATAAATTTGTATTGTTTTAAGCCACTAAATGTGTGGTAATTAGTCACAGCAGCGCCAGGAAATACAACCAGAGAGGGGCCTGGATCGGATTTGTTAGAAAGATCGCCCTGGCTGCTGCTACAGAATGGCTCGAGGAGGACCAAGAGGGAGGGGACGCCTGGGCGCAGGTGACGGCTGCGGACTTTCCTCCCCACCCCCGTAAGTGACGATGGGGACCTGCCGAAGATGGAGGAGGACACTGGGGAGATGAGCAGAGACTTTAAGAAAATCAAAAGGGCCCTATCGCCTGGGTGTGCTGGTGGACCAGGCGTGGTAGGGGAAAGGCAGGCTGAAGAAGCAAGGGCTCAGGGGTGGCTGGCTCCTCGGGTGATCAGCACCCCAATTTCCCCACCTCCCCAGGGGCCTCTCGGAACCCCTTGGCACTGGACAGGCTGTTCCTGGGAGGCTGGGCATTTTCTGTGTGATCAGACTGGAATTGTTCTCTGGGAAATAAATGCCTGAAGTTTAAAGGCTTTTTACAAACCAGGGTGAGGGATTAGAGGCGGCCCGGGGTCAGGAGACAGCTGAGCATGGAGACTTTTAGTCTAAACCTTAAACGTTTTTATTTTTCACTCCCTTGGACCCAAGGTGTCACTTTAAATACATGTTTGGCAACATCGGCTGTTCTATTTTTCTTTTTAATTATACAAAGAGAGAGTCTGGAGACAGCTCAGCCCCGGGATGGAGGAGG